AGAAGAAGAAGAAGAAGAAGAAGAAGAAGAAGAAGAAGAAGAAGAAGAAGAAGGAGAAAGAAGAAGAAGAAGAAAACAGAGGAAAAGAAGAAAACAGAGGAAAAGAAGAAAAAAGAGAAGGAGGAAAACAATACCATCAATGACATGAACAGGAATGACAAAATTTATGAATTGTATCTTGTATCTTTCTGTCCTTTATTTCAAGATATTCACTATAAGAAATTCTCTATAATAATGCATGATGCACGCCATATTATTTTCACTTCCCCAGGGGCCCAGGAGAGTCTTGAAGAAAAAGTGACCCTCAAGACATGTGAGGGTTATGAACTGGCCAAGGTGAACACCATCGCTGACTACCAGGCTGTGGCAAACAGCACCGAGTCTCTGGAGAAAATAGAGGAATGCATGAGGGTGTGGGTCAAGCAGATTGAGCAGGTAGGTTTCATGTGGTTTTAGATTGGGCAGGTAGGTTTCATGTGGTTTTAGATTGAGCAGGTAGGTTTCATGTGGGTTTTCTCGTGAGTTAGCCAGCCATTTCCTATCACTTTACCGTTTTAGTCTCTCATGTAATATATGTGGCATTGCTGTCTGTGAGTGGCATACTCGTATCAGGCACAGATTCTGTCTGGAGTGATTATTGTGTTACCACTTGCTGGTGGATGAACGGAGAAAAAAAGTGGGTCTAGTGTTTTCTCAAGAAGTAATGTTCTACAGTTCAAATCTGGAGTAATACCTATAACTCTTCTGTCTTCTACCTAATGGCTATTATGACAATATCAGTAAAGCATTCAAAGTTACAACGTTTTAAGTTCAACAGTTGCTAGCTGAGAAGATCTAAATACCGTAGCGGTCGTAATTTTTCTGCAGTGGCTGCCATATCATTATGCTAGCATTCTGCCATGGCTTTGGCAAATATCTGTGCTTTAAGGAGGTATTGTTAAGTTAATCTGTAAAAAAAATGTGTTGCAGCAGTGATGGACTTGTAATTTATTTTGGGGGTGGGAGGGGGGGGGGTGTCTTTTCTCAGAGGAACATCAGAACGTTAGAGTAATGTATGAGTTTGAAGAATTAAATCAATGGTCTTGCATTTCTTTAGCTGGTGCATTTATTCCACTTCCCTGTTTCAATCCTTGGAAGAACATGCTGCATCGCAGCCTGTGAGGCACATAAAGGCTATCATTTACATGAGGAAATGTTTGTGAATTCTAACAGGTGTTGGCAGAGAGTGAGCAGATGAGAAGAGAGGCAGACGACATCGGACCCAGAGCAGAGTTGGAGCATTGGAAGAAGAGGATGTCAAAGTTCAACTATTTGGTGGATCAGATCAAAGGTCATGATGTCAAGGCCGTGTTAGGCATTCTTCATGCTGCCAAATCCAAGCTCATCAAGGTATGGTGTGAATTGCTTCTCTTTTCAAAATTGTTGAATGAGGAATGATATAAGAAAATTAATGTTTTGCAAGGACAATATTTTTTGACAAGTAATGAAGGCCAAATGCATCCTGCTAGGAGTCTTACACGTAGCAGTCAAGATGCTCTTCACTAGGCCTGTTTCCCTTTTTCTTTTCTGGATACATGTCAGGACTTGTTCTGGTCATGTAAGCTCCATATACTTAATTGTATGTTTTTCTATAGAAACACGTCTAATCTTCAGCACTTATATGACTTATTTGTGTTACAAGTGCCGCAAAACTCTAATTAAAACTAAAACTAAACTAATAGATAACAAAACAAATATGTGAGGCAGCGCGGTGGAATCAGGCTCTCCTCAAAATAATCAAAGTGAAGAAACTTGCATTTTTTCACAGGTTTGTGAATTTTAATCAAATATTTGTATTTTGGCTCAACACCTTTCATGCCCATTAAAGAACTCATTTGTGCTTGGATTTTTCTTAAAAACTTTGATTAAAGGCACCAAAAATGTAAATTTTCAGTTACCACGGACTCTTAAGCTGAGGAAATAACTAATCTTTGGTGGCCATTTTCTCACTTATTTTACTTCTGAAAACAGGTGACCCCCCACCTTCTTCATTCGCAAATATCTCAACTTGTATTCAAAATAACTGGATATTTTTTCACCCAAATAAAGACAAGCAAACATGCTTTAAGATGATACTAATAACTCAACATGCCCAAAAGTTGACGAGAGCCTGATTCCACCACGCTGCCTCACAAACATGTTTTCTTTTCTCAGCTGTGGCAGGAGCTGGACCGTCGCATCACTGACACTGCCAACGAGGCCAAGGACAATGTGAGGTTCCTGTACACCCTGGAAAAACTCTGCAACCCTCTCTACAACAGTGACCCAGTGAGTGGAACCTGTCAAGGGATCGTCCTTCTTCTTCTTCTTTTTCTTCTTCTTCTTCTTCTTCTTCTTCTTCTTCTTCTTCTTCTTCTTCTTCTTCTTCTTCTTCTTCTCCCCCTCCCC